AGAGCACGAGAAAGCCGCCGACACAGGAGCCTTTGCATCCGCTCCTGGCCCATGTTGTAATAGACGGCCATCTCCCTGCTGAAATATTCCTGGCCGGCGGGAGAGTTCATCCCCCAATCTTCAAGCCTGGCGGCAACCACCTCGTAGCACCAGGGAGCCTTTCATCGGCCTTCCACCCCTCGGCCAGGAACTTCTCAACGGCCTCATCAGCAGCCCTCACAACGGCGGCCTCGGCCTCAGCTTTCGCCTTCACGGCCTCCTCGCTCTTGCGCCGCTCGGCCTCCAGCGCCCTTTGGGACTCCTCGAGCTCCCTTTTGCTCTCCTCGAGCTTGGCCAGGGCGTCGTCCCTAGCTGCAGCGGCTTCATCGGCCCTCTGCTGCAGAGCCTTAGCGTCCTCCCGGAGCCGATCAAGGCAGGCTACCACCTCGTCGGCCGAGGCAGCCTTCTGCTCCAGCTCCTTCAGACGAGCTATCTCCCGGTACTGCCTTTTATGGCTCTCCATGAGCATAAAGGCACTCTGCAGAAACAAGGGAAACAAAGTCAGGGAAATGAACCTACACGGACGACGAGAAAAACAACACATACGAAGGAAAGTAACTTACTTGGACGAGGAGGTCCATGCCGCCCTCGTAAATATTCACGTCCCCGAGCTTCCTCAAGTAAGCCCGATCTTTGGCCGGCATGGCCTGGGCCAGGACGTCGTGGCCAAGGACGACATCATCAAACACACCCCAGCCAACGGGGTATTCTACCATCTTCTGGTAGGTGGTACCGGCAATCTCCTTGCCGGCCCTCTTCGTCCGTGGTTCCTGGACGAGAGGAAGCGATGGGGCAGCACCGCCAGCAGCGGTAAGGTCCACGACGGGACCACCATCATCCATGCTGGGGACAGTCAGAGTACCGGCCTCGGTAGCCGGAGGAGGAGAAGGTGCCCTCTTCGTCTTCTTGGAGACGTTCAGGCCGGCTTCAGTTAATTTTTTCTGGCCGTCAGTAGCCGGCCTCTTCTTCTTCGATGGGGCAGGCTTTGGGGCCGCATCAGTAGTAGCCCCGCTCCCATCAGCCGCGGCACGTCTGGCCGCCTCGGCCGCCTTGGCAGCCAACTCCTCGGCCGCTTTGGCCTTAGCAATTGCCATTATGGAACGACGATCCATGACGAAATCTACAAAGGAAAAACACAACAGATTAGTAAGGCAAAGGAACAAAACATAAAGACAGAAGGCCGAAGAAATAATTACCATCGGCCTCAGCAGGAATGCCCAAATCCGGACCGTCGGCCTCTTCAAAGGTGGTGGTCATCTTCGGCCAGAGTTGGAGGTCATCCTCCTTATCGCCATACAGATGGTGTCTAAAGAAGCCGAGGGCGGTCATCTTGTATTCAGTAACGTAATCCTTCACGCTCCTCGGCCCCCCTTCCAGGAAAGCCTCCACCTGAGCATCCAAGATAGAGCTCTTCGGCGGGTCATGGAGATTGAACCTCCCGGTATGGCCGAGAGAGGGGAACTCGGTGCCACTTTCACCCAGAGATACGAAAACGAACTTGCTCTTCCACCCATGAATGGACGAAGGCAAGTCCGTGAAGCTCCTCTTCTTCGGCAGCTGTTGAAGAGTAGCATAGGCCGCACAGTTCTTGTGGCTTCCTCGGCCGATCTGGTACAGATTCATGAAGAGGGCCGTTGTCGGCCTGTAGCCTAGCTCCTCACACCGGAGCAAAAACCCCACCATCAAGGAATAGCTGTTCGGCGTCAGCAAGGCCGGAGGAAGCCCCACCATATCCAGGTATTCAGTGATGAAGGGGTGAAGGGGGAACCTCAAGCCCTTAGCGAAACTCATCGGGTATACTCCAAAGTACCCCGGTGGCGGAAGAAGAACATGGTCCGTCGGCCTGGGTGCCCTAACCCGCCCGAACGGCCCCACGTACATCTGAGCAACAAGATAGTCGGCCGCGCTGCTCTCCGGCTTAATCAGGAAGATGTTGGTGAGGTCTAGGTAGGAGAGGCCCGACCCATTCTTCGGCCTCCTCACCCTCTTCGGCTTAACTGCTCCCTTCACGGCAGACACCGGCCTCGGGCAGGGAATGACAGCAGATGTGGACGCCCCGTCCACCACTCGGGACGCACCTACGTCCTCAATTTTTGAAGAGGAGGCGGACTCCTCGTCCTCGCCTTCCTCGTCCACCGGCTCTTCGGATTTGTAGGGACTTAAATGCTCTATCTCCTCCTCGAACTCCTCGAGCACCTCGTAGTCAAGTGACCTCGTGGAGGGCTGGTCGTCGTAGGGGTAGTAGTCTTCGTTCAAGCTCTTCATAACTACTACTACGGGCCTAAGGCGATTAACTTAAGATCTAAGGGTGTTCAAACACCTAACACTAGATCACTAGCCTAGGAAGCAAAATATGAAAAGTGAGGAAGATCGCGATGAACACTAACCTTGAACAACGAAGAACACGAAGAACAAGCTTGGGAGTTTATCTCTCTAGAAAATCGGCCAGCACTTCGACAAATTCAGAATGCAAATACGTTTCTCGTCGGAGGGGGAGGGGTATTTATAGAACCCCCCACCCAACGGTCACTACACGTGGCACCCTCCCAATGGCCACATCAACGGCCACTAATGGGAGGCCACCACGTCACCAACGGGCCAGGCCAACCCACATAAACAGCCCACCGGCAAACCAGACTACAACGGCCTACACGCTTGCCGGCTTTACAGGTACCAGCAAGCGCCCACAACGTCCCACTTGCTCGCCAAGATCACAACTGCCAAACAATAAGGAGACGGCAACGGCCAGGAACGTAACGGCCCCAGGACCAAAGGAACAAAGAGCCCACAAGCCACCGGCTCCTCGTCATGACCCTTGATGATAACTCTCTACAAGCGATCTACGCACAAGGGTTCTCCCACAGGGTTACCTTGGCCAGAAAATCGCCATGAGAGTTGGATTCAGGAGGACTATGGAGAGGCCGCTTCGGCCAGGGACTCAAGCAACTCCTTCACCCCTCACACTCTTCGGCCTGAAGCAGTGGGGGACTGGGGGACTACACCGGCCTCAACAAAACAAAAGGAAAAATGCAAACAAATGTAACCATGAAGCATGGCCACATCGTCCATGTATCACACTGCACCTCGTCGGCCAAAGGCACACAACGTCATCAGCAACGGTCAACTGGCCACCTTAGGCAAGGACACTCATCGTCTTCCGCCAACAGTTAATCATGATGGGCTCTTCGGCCAAGAACACGAAGGCCAATCAGCGACGGCCAGAAGGAGTGCGCAAGCACCCTCATCGGCCACCCAAAGGAAAGGAAGCCATCGTCCTCAAAGCAAGGATCAACCTCAACGGCCTCATCGGCCCAAACACAAACTTCAACCATCAACGCCTTCAACGGCCACCATTGAAACAATACACTTATCATCCCCAAACGAACACATTAAAGGAACAACGGCCTCCCCGCCCACAGCAAGGAACCGGCATCGGCCAAAAACACTAAAGCACGGGAATCTACTCTCCTTCACTTCGTCTACATCTCAGCTTAGAGAGTGGGGGACTCCTGATGGAGTATATGGGTCTGAGCCCCCGGACCCACATACTCAGAAGAACAGAAAGCACAAGGCACAGAGTGGCGCCCTCGTCGGCCAAGACGCCCCCGTCGGCCGAAAAGGTGCCAACTCAGATTATGGTCCTGAAGCCAAGGAACTCGGGTGCCCTCGTCGGCCGTGCCCTCATCGGCCGTGCCCTCGTCGGCCACGCCCTCGTCGGCCACGAAGACTCCACAGAACCGAATTCTATACTTACTTATTTGTGCAGCCCATTAGTGGCTTTGTATTCGGCCCAGTAGCGGTCCAGTTGTAAATGGGCCTCCCAAGCCCAAGGCTTGGGAGCCCAGCCCGTATTTTCTCTATAAATACTCCCCTTGGGAGTAGTTATAGGGTGACAAATTCATTCTATTGAAGCATATTATTGCACTTCTCTCTCTAGCTCTCACTTCTCTCTAGATATACTCTATCACTTAGTATTAAAGAGGTGTTGGAAATGATTCTACGTAGGGTTGTAAACGAATTGGATCGAACCGAATACTAAGCAAAATTATTCGCATTCGTATATTTTCACGAATATTCGGATTCGTATTCGATTTGTATTCGAACCATAATCTCTATTCGTATTCGATTCGTGTGTTTATTCGAATACATTCGAAAATTATTCGAATATTCGAATTCGAATTTTTTAATTATAAAATATGTTTGACCAATCGAATTTATGATGAAAGTTTTGTATTTTTTCTCAATTTTCACAGCACATATTCCATCTAAAATAAAACGAATCCACAAGCTTAAGCAAAATCAAATATGTTTAAATAAAAAATAAAAAGAAGCAAAACGTAAATAAGCTTATCCGAATTCGAATATATTTGAATATATTTCGAATCAAATAGTGCCCTATTCATATTCGTATTCGAAATTCATTCGAATATAATTTTAGATTTGTATTCATATTTGTATTCTATTTATTCGAATTCGAATACACGTATTCGAATTCGAATCACGAATCGAATCAAAATTATTCGATTTGTTTACAACCCTAATTCTACGTATACTTCTTTTTTAGCTGAAGTATAACCACAATTAGTTTTACAAACAATGATTTTTTCAACTTCTCAAAAATTGCTCATAGGAGCAATTTATAGCACTCAGAAGTAATTCAATACTTTCACTGGGACACTTCAATATCTATATCTATTTCCTGAAATGTGACAAGGGAAAACGAATCTTTTTAATTAAATGAATAATGTTCCCTCTTTCATAAAAAAGTTCGCCAAATTGACTTTCTTTTATTAATACTATCAAACTTTGGGTAATGATTTTAATGATTATATTTGTATATAGTTTCTAAACTTTATACTTTTAAGAAAATATTTTGAATGATGAACACTTTGATATAATTTCCATATTCAAAATAGTTTTATATTGAAAAGTATCATAGGTCAAAATTAATTGTTGTTGATCAAGAAAAGTCAATTTGATAAAATTCTAGGATGGAAGGAGTAGGTAGTATTGCAAAGTTGAAAGGATAAATATGGAGACTTTTGCATAGCTTTTCATAAACCAAAACCGGGCATTCAAAATTTCGAAGTTCAAACTTGGCCCAACCATCAAACTAATCGGCCCAAGCATCAAACTAATCGGCCCAAGCCACAAGCCACGCACACGACTTCCCGCCAAAACGGATCGCATTTGCAGAAGCAGCTGTATCAGGTTAGACGCTCAAACTCTCACTCGCCCGCCTTCACGAAGAACACAGGTTGAAGCTGCTATGGCTTCCTCCAAATCGCTCTCCCTCGTCACACTTTTTCTCTTCGCCATGTCTCTATCAGCTGCACCAGACAACCGGTCGCCGCCGCCACCGCCTCCGCGCTTCCTGCTCGACACAATACGGGCGCTCGCCAATTCCGGCTACACCGCCATGTCTCTCACACTTCAGCTCATAGCCGATTCCAATATTATTCTCTCAAACTCTACTTCTTCCTCGTTATCAAGCATAACTTCTGCCCTAACAATCTTCACTCCGCCGGATTCCGCCTTCGTGGCTTCCGGCCAGCCGTCACTCCCTCACCTCCTTCTCCATTTCGCCCCTGTCTCGTTGTCATCCACCTCCCTCCTCTCTCTCCCGTACGGATCCAAAATTCCAACACTATCCTCTTCCGGTTCGCTGTACATTACCACATCTCGCTCGGACCGTGCTCCTGTTTCCATCAACGGGGTCAATATCTCGGCCGGTACGCCGATTTTCGAGGACCAATCTGTGGTCGTCTTCCCTATTGACGACTTCTTCAGCCCTAATTTCAGCCTTCAGATAGCTGGAGAACCTAGCTCTTGTTTGATTCCTCACTCCATTTGCAAATTGCAACGGTTCTCGCAACTACGCAACGCTTCTGCTGTTCTGAAATCTAGAGGCTATCTGATTATGGCCTCATTTCTGGACCTGCAGCTATTCGGCTTTCTGGATACACCGCCCTTAAAATTGACTGTGTTTGCGCCGGTGGACGATGCTCTGATTACGTACTCCGGTGATGTGATGGTGTACCAGTCACTGCTGATGAGGCACTTACTGCCTTGTTTGTTGCCATGGAGGGAGTTGAACGAGCTCGGCAAGGGTACTGGAACAGTGTTCCAGGATTACGCGAACGGGTTTAGCATGAATATAACGAGCGCCAATGGCCTAATTTTTCTGAATGGCGCCATAAGGATCTCGTTTCCAGACATGTATTCCGATGATTGGATCGTGATTCACGGCCTCCATGAATCGATTCCTCTGCCCAAAGATGCCGAAATCCCAGTAGAAGATTTAGATATGAAGAGTCAGAGGAGAATTCAAGAATCTATCTCACCTGATCGCAGTGAATTCTGAATTGTTGACCTCTTTTCTGGTGATCTTTGGTATGTTTTCATTATTTTGTCATAGTAATGATTAGAAGTACGTAGTATCACTTAATTGTTGAGGTTGAAAGTGAAATCTGAATGCAGGTTGCTCATTGCTGCAATGTAACTTTGCAGCTGGTTAATATCAAATGCAATGAGGTCTCTACACGCCTGTACCATGTCCTTTGTCACCACTGTAAGTGGTATAACTAGAAAACTTATCATAGTCATAGAGAGTACATAAGTTGCAGTTGTTGCAATGAATCTCATAGCTTTCACCACCAATTTGGAGGCTTTATATCAAAAGGAATATATAAAGGAAACCATTAAAGTTTACTCAAAATTCAAAACTGAGAATAGGATTTTTAGGTGAAACTATCCATCACGTTTTGTGAGAAATACAGTGCTCCCATTTTCATTGTATAAAAGTGCTTTAACACGTTTGCTCATGTATATTAATTAAAAATTAAATTGTTATTTCGGTCTTGATGCTATATCCTAGTTTTCAAATTTCACTTGATGAACTTGTTATAAAATGTGATTGAAAATAAATAGAAAATGGGCGATTAAGATTAGAATGAAACCAGTGAAAGAATAAGTCACCATTTCTTTTCCCAACAAGAACATGAACAAAAAAATAGAAATTCATATTAAGGGATTATGATACTAGTATTTATTACGTAGTAACATACTCCGTATTTATTAAGTGAGTCACCTATTGGTTGATGACTCGTTTTCTCATGCGAGAGGTCTCAAAATCAAAATTTCATGGAGGGGACTTCAGCCTTATTTATCCCCCACCCCCAACCGCCTCCGACTAACGCTCTTAGTGCATTGATGATTTGGTGATGAAGTGGCAAAAAAAAAACGATTTGGGTTTATTTGATGTAGGCCAAGTTTTAACTAAAAGGGAGAGTTCATCAAAATAATACTCCAATACAAAAGTAAGACAAATTAATTAAGAAAGAAAAACTCCATCCATAACGGGTATAGAGGGTGGCATCGAAGGTCCACACATGGACCTTAGACCATTTTTCAATTGCCATGTCACCTATACTTGATCTATTTTATTTTGCATTGGAGGTGACATTTATATTTCAAAAGTGCAATTGATGAGGTGGAACTACAATGCACATCTTCATTGGAGATGCCTTGAGGATAAGTAATTGATGTTGTTTTGCAGAATAATTCTTTTATTATAGATCCTTACACAAGCAAAATGTAGTCTCTTTTTAAAATCTGAGAACAATTCAAGTGATCTAGCACGGGTCTACTTTGATACCCTAAGTGTGACTGACAATACAGAAGCTTTTGTATTACTTTTTCTATTCTCTATTCTCTATTGGAGTGTCTTACAAATTGCAATGATGTTTGGTCTATATAAAATGTGTACACCTTAGAGAGACACTATATAAAGTCCTCCACTATCCTCTCTCTCTTCATATGAAAATATCCTGCACTCCCTCTTTTTTTTTCTCTCTTTTTTGATTCTCATCACGTTCACATCTATCATCACCATCTTCATCATCTTCAACTTCTATCTAGCACACAATATTTATCGTTTCTCATTTTCAGGATCTTACATATATATCACCATTATCATCTTTACCCTTGTTATATTCCAGAATAAAAAATGTAGTTTAATAGTCGCTAGAAAGTCGTTAGTAAAATATACAGACATTTATTTTTTACAATGTTTGTGTGTCCAAATAGAATTTTTAAGCACAGACAAAAATGTACAAATTGTATGTGCACATACAACTAATGTCTGTGTACAGACATTGGTTTACGTGCTACCAGAATCTGATGTTTTTGTAAAGCAACTTGTGAACCAATATTCGTATACAGACATTAGTTGTTTGTATCAGACTATTTCTACATTTTTTGTCTACATTCAACCAAAATTGTTAAGTACAGACAAATCATGTACAAATTGTCTGCATACAGACAACTAATGTCTGCGCACAAACATTGGTTACGTTTTTGTACAACCAAACCCTAAGGATTCTGCAAAACGGGATGCAAACTATTAGCATACAGATATTAGTTTTCTGTAAACATACATCTTCTACATTTTTTGTTTGTGTACAGACAACTAATGTTTGTATGTGAAATGTGATTTGTGTGATATTTTGCTGAGATTTTAGAATTTGGTTGCACGAAAACTAGTGTTAGTGCACATACATTAATTTTTTGTACACAGACAACTTAAACATTTTTGTTTGTATTTAACAATTTTATTTGGGCACACATACATTGAAAAAAATCATTGTCTGGTCACACAATTTTGTGATATTGACTTTATCCTTTTAGTGATATTTGGTCAAAAAATAAATACGCAGTAGAATTGCTTCATTTATGCCGCCTAAGCATCAAGACACTATAATCATTGGAGATGTTATTAACGAGATAAGAGAAGCCGGCTTAGAGAAACCATGTGTTGTAACCACTAGATTCTCACATGTGAGATGCACGGGGGAAAATTAGTAAAATATTATGTATTATTATTTGCATACAATAATAATAGATGATAGTTTTTAAATAAATGCAATTTGTAAAAAGCATTAAAAGAAAATGTAATAAATATTAAGAACTTATAAATTGGAAGAGTCAAATCATAATGTTGATACTAAAAGTTTATTAGATATTACAATTAAACCGTGTTATCCTAAATACTTGTTGTTGTTTTCTTAATTTATACATTATTTTTTCAAAAATAGTATTGAAATCAAACTTATATACAAAAAGATGACTAATAGTTAATATAGTATAGTATAATAGTCATTTGTGTGTAAAAACGTAATATAAGCTACTATACCTAAGCTTTTTCTATAATCACGACATTTAAGTGGCCAAATTTTTATAAATAATATTCCGTATTTATTTTAGTTATAAACTCCGTATAGAATTGTTTCTTATAAATAACCATAATTACATGTATTTACGAAATCCAAATGTAGCTCTTTTTTGGATCCACAAACTTAAATTATTGCCAACTTAAATGAAATATCAATTTCAGGTACATGTTTTTTGGAACCATTCCAGAACATCTTCAATTGAATTTGTTTCGTTTATTTTAATTAATTTATTCCCAAATTTGACAACATATTAACAAATACTCAATGATATCTAATAAGCCATTCATGACTTAAGAATTTCAAAGATCTATTTGCTATAGTTTATTTATAATAAGCTACGCATATTGTCCAATGGTAGGCCCAAAACAAAAGTTGGGGTTAGAAGCTCAAACCTAAAGTTTGCCACATTATGCCTGAATTAAGTACACTTAAGCTCTTAAATTCTTTGAATATCTCAAGATCCAACACATTCGGGCTACTTGGAAAGTATGGATAGGCTGCAACTACAATCTTTGTTAAGTAATTGCTCTCAATAGGAGTAAAACATAACACATTTCCCTAAATAGAAGTTAACTCTCAATCTTCCCCGAATAGGAGTAAACATTAATTTTTTTACCCCTAATACCCCTATTCTAATTAATTATTTCCCCCCTAGTTCCCTTGGGTAACCAGAACAGTTCGTCGGTGGTGGGGCAGGCCGTTGGTAGCGGAGGCAGTCTGGTGGTGATGATAGCCGCCGCCGCCGGCCGGCGGCCGGCGGTGGAGCTCCGATGACCAGCGGAAGTTGTGTCAGAATGGCAGCAGAAATATTCTAGGATTTTTTTGGGTGGCGGCAAATTCAGGCCGCCGGCGGCCGGAGGCGGCGGTGGCGGAATTGACGACGACGGCAAGACTAATTTGGAAATTATTGGTGGATTCCGGCGACCAGCGGTTGGCAACTCCGGTAGGGGTGGTCTTGTCCAAGCTTTAAAGAATACTCCTATTTGGGGAATTTTACAAACTCACTCCTATTTTTGCACTTTCTATATGAGTTGCAATTGCGGTGGCAACTCCGACAGGGGTGGTCTTGTTCAAGCTTTAAAGAATACTCCTATTTGGGGAATTTTACAAACTCACTCCTATTTTTGCACTTTCTATATGTTTTGCTCCTATATGCAATGTTCTAAAAGGTATAAGGTGTGCCGAGGTGGCACCGCCAAGCCTTGAGCCTTTGAACCCTAGCCGAGTTTATGCGTCGCCTAGCCGTGAAAATGCGTCTTGAATTTTTACTTATTTTTTAAATCTCTATTGGTATTAGTAAGCATGTAAATATATATATAAATCATGGAAAAACATTATGTAGTATATCTTATGGGATTGGGGATGGATATGAATATGGCATACGTAAAAAATGGATAAAGGGCGAGTTTTGCTATCTAGGTTTGAGTCTTAAGTCTTATGTTAGTTCTTAACTTCTTATGTTTACTATTTTACATTATTTTACCCTTGTTTGGTGCTTTATATCTTAGTTATTAGAGTTCATATTCAAGTGGGTGACAAAAAATCTAAATCGATCATATTTGGATTGTAAGTGTCCGTGTTAGAATAAGTGAATCATATTGCTTTTATATGAGTGATTGACTTCATGGCTGATTCAATGCTTGGTGATTGAAGCATGATTTTTGTCTTGGTGTAACTTGCTTTACTTTCAATGATTTAATATATAAAAATAATACTACCTCCGTCCCTTAAAACTTTGCGAAGTTTGACCGGCACAGGAATTAATAAAGTAAAAAGGGAACCACAAATTCTTTAACGGCGAAAGTTTTAACGGACGGAGGGAGTAATAAAATAATATTAATAATTAGTAATAATAGGAATGATGATGTTGATATTGATAATAACAATGATCATAATAATAATAACTTCATAAGAGTAGCAATAATACGGAGAACTGATGTTTATATGATAGTGTCTATTTAATAATTATAAGCTAATTTCATATCAAACTTCAAATGTCCACAATTGATGGCGTAGACTTGTAGGTTGTGGTTTATATGTGGCTTAATTCTATACGTAATAGAGGGTATAATATATCCAAAAAATTATTTGGGTCGGACGCCTTTGCTCTCGCCAGTGTGTGGGGCGTTTTCGGTTAAGCCTTGTGCATAGGCGGCACCTTATGGCGCTTTTTAGAACACTGTCTATATGGGGAATTCTATCATCTTTGTTTAGTCACTACACATATGCATAAACAATATAGAGTATTTTGTATGTTCAAATGAATAAAAATACACCATAATAGAAACAAAGCATATCCAAAGTACCCATCATATATAGTAGACATCAAAACGGTAAAGTTTTAGGGGTAATATGTGCAAAATGCACAAAATATGTACTTTTTACTCTGTAATACTCTATTCTTTTTCACGTACCCATTCACGTAGTTACTGAAATGTCAATTACAATTTAGTAACAAACAATTTAGTCAATCTAAATTGTTTTATATTCTGATAAAAGAATATCAATCTACAGAGTCAACAAACAATTTAGTAACAAAATCTCTTCTCAAATTATTCTCTCTTTATACATGTGAAGTCAAATTTCTAGTTACCCGTCATGACCATACCCACATGTTTGGCATATCAGAGTATATTATAATAGTTGGTAATAAATAAGGGCCTTTTCCTTGAATATTACCTTATTGAAGCTAATTTCCAAACAAGTGACCATTTTCATAAAAGGACAAAAATGTGACTAAGAAGGTCACATATGTGGAAAAACTTGATGTCACTTCTTTGTATGTCACTGTCTGATTTTTATGCCACTATTGTATGTCACTATTAGATTTTTATGTCACTTTTCAAAGTCACTATATCCGTCGGAAAATTTTTCGGCAACATTTTCCGGCGAAACGGTACACCACCAACAGGGCCCCCACCAATCATTTCATGTCACTTTAGTTTTTTCGTGTCACTACGATTTGTCACTACCGTTTTTCATATCACTTTCAGATGTCACTGTCCTCGTAAAACGTGTCACTGTCTTCTGAAAACTTTTCCGGCAACTTTTTCTGGTCAAATTGTTAAACAATTTCCATAGTTTCCTCTCCAAAATCGTCGTCCAACCGTTGCAGACACCGCCGCTATGGGTGAGGCCGCCTACAACCCCAGCCCCATCACCAGCCCCTCCCCTACCCTGCCCCCAGACCCACCCCCAGCCACACCCCTTGCTCTCCCAGCCCCAGCCCACCTGTCGCAGCGCCTCATCACCGCTGCCAAAGTGCCAGCCCCATCCCAGCCTACCTGTCCCAGCGCCCCTACCCCAGTGCCCCTGCCCTAGCGCCGCCCGCCACCCGCCGCCACCTGACTATAGCGTTGCCCATCCCTCAACGATTTGCCCTAAAACCTCTGTGACTCGCAGTAGCCCAACCCCTCTACGAATTGCCCAAATCCAGTAGCCCCAAACACCGAATCAAGACGAGATCGATGAAGCACACCATTGCTGTGGAGATCAGAAGCTTGACGTCGCCGACCGACGAGACCTTCAACGAAGACGAGCTCCATTGAAGTCGGTGACGAGATTTCGTGTACAAAAAGAAAGGAGAAGGGGAGATACCGGCGGCGACAGATCTGGTTGCGGCACTGGAAGGTGATCTGCGATGGAGATCGATGGCTAGCCTCTCTGTCCGTGTTCGTTGGTTGTAAAGAGCTTTTGATGCCTGCGGTGCGAAGTAGAGCGCCAGATGGGAAGAGATGGACTGGATTGTGTGTGAAGAAAGAGGGCGGGCTGTATGTTTGTCACTTTTCTGTCCATTGGAAAACCAGTCATATTTTTGTCAACTAAAACTCTAGTAGTAATATTTAGGCCATTATTTCAATAAATAATAGAAAACCCATCAAAATACTAAATGACTAATAAATGATTAACAAATAATATTAGTACACAAACAACATAAATGATTAACAAATAATACTACGTAGTAACATTAAAACATTCATTCTTAAGTTATTAACAAAAAAGTGCATATAATAATGTGTCAATAGAAAAACTTAAATCAATAAGGTAACTCGATAGTGGTAGAACTCCTAATTGCAAAAACAAAGTCTGAAGGCTCATACCAGGAAGCTTGGAACTAACTAGAGCTCTAGAAGAATATCCAAGCAATTAAGCTCAGAAATCAGATACTTCAGTCGTCCCATGTTGCCTTTTCCGTCTTTGAATGTCGCACTCTCGTCGGTCTCAGAAGTCGGGGTTTGGGGGTTGGGGCTCTAGGTGACTACGTCTCAGTTTTCAAGCTTGTCCGTCAAGTTTCAATTCCTCTGTATTACTACTACAACAACATCCAACAACATCCAAACCTTAGTCCCAAAAGATATTGGTGTCGGCTAACATGAATCGATACATGATATCACTATCAAAAGGAAAAGAAAGGAAATAAAGATAAAAAAGATAAGCTATTATAAAAAGATAATATAAAAAGATATGAATATACATAAAAATGATAAAATAAAAAGGATAAAAATAATGCTTATATATATAAGGATAAAAAATATGAAAAAAAGATGAGGGAAAAAGATGATACGAGATCACTCCTCCACACGAATACCCGTCCTCCACTTAACTCTCTCCAAAGTCATGCCCTCATCCAACCCCAGAAGAAGCATATCACTTCGAACTCCCCTAAGCCACGTCTGTTTGGGTCTTCCTCTCCCTCTCTTCTATGCCTCTTCTCCACACATCTCAACTCGTCTGACAGGTGCATCACTCGGTCTTCTACGCACATGACCAAACCACCGTAGGCGCGACTCCCGCATCTTATCTTCAATAGGTGCTACTCCCACCCTTTGTCTGATTGTCTCATTCCTCACGCGATCCTTCCTAGTATGCCCACACATCCAACACAGCATGTGCATCTCTGACACACTCATCTTTTGAATGTGACATTGTTTCACCGCCCAACACTCACTACTAGAATTTTCCTTACTTGCTGCTACCCAATTGTTGCGGTTCGTATCTAAACCGTAGTAAATAAGCAAAATTTATAAGTACTTGTTGTGGTTCCTTTACAACCGTAACAAAAAGTAGTGAAAATTCATACTTTTTGTTGCGGTCGTAGAGGAACCGCAGCAAATACTTATTATATTTCGAATTTCGATTTTTTTGTTGTGTAGAGGAACCTTTTTGTTGCGGGTAAGGGTAAATCGCAACAAATAAGATTAGTTTATGCGCTCTTCTCTCCCCTAGTTTATCACTTTATCCGCTCTTCTCTCCACTTTTCCAAGCTTCATCTAGCAGCTTCGCCAGTTCCAGCCCACAATTCTATCCGGAACGCACCGCCCGGCATCACGACCCCGCGGCCTCGCCCTTCACCTAGCAACGGCACCTCACGCCTCTGCCGCATCTGTTGCAGCAGAAACCGTCTCAGCAACCAAGAGTGGTACCGTCAGATTGAAAATGCAGGTGCAAACAAAGAAGGGAGTAGATCCGCTAGGTTGAAACCAGCACCGGCTGCCGCTCCTTCAGCATCGGCCTCTGCTTCTGTCCTCCAGCATTGGCCGCCACTATCAGCACTTTAGCTACTCCTGGATCTACAACTTAGGCATCATCTTGGGCAAGTAAGGTTGACTGCATTTCCAATGTTATATATGTGTGTGTGAGTATATTCACTGTAATTCAACCATTTTAGGTCTTTCTTTGATTTAAGAAGTTCAGTTTGAATCAACCATTTCAACCACACATTCAGAAATTCAGCCATTTTAGGTCTTTCTTTGATTTTCACTTTCATTATCATTTACTCCCTCCGCCCCCATATAATTGTTCCATTTTCCATTTTTGGATGTCCCTTTATTATTGTCCCATACCATATTTGGTAATATTTGTGTGGCTCTAATTCATTCTTACTTTATTTCCACTTTATCAACTCATTACCAACCACATAAATCTACTTTTCTTAAAAACCACACCAAAAAAATTTACGGAGGGAGTATTAAGAAAATTGTAATTGTTTCTATTAAATTTCAACCTATTGGCTTTGTACTCTATAGTCACTGCTCTTATTCCCCAACATGAAATTGACGCTTGTATTGGTGACTCCTACAAAGATGTACAATCCAAAATTATGACAAGAGCACAACGTAAAATCCATTATTCACTCTGCAATTCAAGTGCTCTTATTATTTTTATTAACCAGGTTGGAATTTTGTTATTGGATCAGCATATTTCCTTGATTTTCTTTTTTAGTTTTTTAAATAATATCTACAAATTAAATAATCACTATGAGCCAGGTGAGATCAAAAGTGCAGCAACCATCTAAAAGTTTTGGATGTGCAGAGGAAGTAACATGTGGTGGAATTGCATTGCCATTTTATGATGTTGTGCGGTTGAGATTGATTAGAAAAGAATTGCTCAAGGCTAATGACACGGTAGTGATTACAATCTGTTTGACATTTTGACCCAATGGCAACTATCTGTCCCAAAAAAGAGTCTATTTTGACCAAACAAAGCTAAAGTTACATGTATTTTGTTCAAAAAAAGTCAGAAATTTCACGAGA